TCCTCCTTGAGAATACTTTAGCTTTTCAGTAAAACAGCTGCCAACAGCTCCAGGAAATTAGTCACTTCTTCCTCTGTGCTTTTTATAAGCCCTTCACTACTACAATGCCTATTATATTATATTCTAATTTATGTGTCAAATTTCAGGGCAGGGATCGTGTTTCAATCATGTAATGACTAACACAGTCTGTGGCAGATATCTAGCAGATACTCAATGCATTTTTTGAATGAATAAACCTTGTCTGTTTTCTTTATTTTCCTGTAAAACTAGTTTAATAATGTGATTGTCTTCAATATAGCAATCTATTCTTAAATAATTGTAATAAGAGGAAGATAGTGAAAGCACTGTTTTCAATATTCCCGAAGGTTGTCAATTATATCAATCTCACCCAAAGAAGCAGAAAAAATCTCCAAATTACAATGTTAAACATGGCTTTAATTCTCCTTCTTAGCAAGAGTATAATAAAAAATTATACACAAACATCAGGTTTAGACTTTACATCAGAAGACTTTTAGAGGGTCAAAACAATAGCTGTTTTTTTTTTCTCAGTCAAAAAGGACATCTTGGCTATCTAGTTCAACTTTCTGCGCTGTATGAATCTCTACGGTATCTCTGATAAATGCTTATTGAGCTTTTATTTGAATACTTCCAGTGACTGGGAACTCACTATTAGGAAGGTATTGATTCTTTATTTTAACAGTTATAATATCCACATTGAGTTCAAATTTGCCTTCCTGTAGTCTTTAGCCATTGGACTCAGTCCTTCCCTCTTAAACCACAGAAAATATTCCTTCTTCCTTATGGACACCCAAGAATTAAAAACAGCTATATCATCTTTCCAAGTCCTTCCCAGTTTTATTCAGTTCCTTCTGAGATGTCACGTTTGTCGACATTTTCACCAAGCTGCTTCATATTCTCCAGACATGTCACAGTCAGTCTCTAACACTTCTGAAATGAAGCCTGGAGCAACTCAAGTGAGATGTGCCCAGTGTAGAGGATTTCTCAGGGCAGCACTAACACGTACCTGTCATTGCAGGCTTTGTACAGGTATTTTAAATTTGGATTGGCTCTTACTTGATGTAGAGTCAAACCTTGGCAAAAGTCAGCAGCAAAGAGGATAACATGAAGCCTGAGTAGGCACAGAGCTGAGAGAACTGTTCTAATTCTGGGGCTTTTTTTGGGAGGCAAGCTGCCTAATGAACCTTAGACATACCAAGGGGACTCAAGGGGTTTTGGCCAATAGATGGGGACCAGGCTGTAGCAGTATTTGAAATTAGACAGGTGGCAGCATCTTGCTTCCATAGGTTTTAGAGCAGGTCCTCCACCACCAGGTGGGGAACATGAGAAACAAGACCCAATTCCTGTGCAAAGAGGCTGCAAAGGGCTGGGCAAATTAGAGTGAAGAAGACTGGGGTTCAAAGAAGGTATATATAATTTCTTAATATTTTATTTTTAATTGGAAGGTAGTTGCTTTACACTGTTGTGTTAGTTTCTGCTGTACAACAATAATCAGCTATAAGTTTACATATATCTCCTCCCTCTTGAGCCACCCGCTCCATCCTGCCCCTCTAGGTTATCCCAGACCTGAGCTGAACTCCCCGTGCCACATAGCCGCTTCCCACTAGCTAGCTATTCTACACATGGCAGTGTATATATGTCAGTGCTACGCTCGCAATTTGGGTTACATTTTTAAGGGGAAACTGAGGTAGTAAGAATCAAAATAGCTCTGGAGTCATAAAGACTTGGTTGAATTCCATCTTCTCCACTCTCCAACCGCAGTAGCTTCCTCAAGTGAATATGGAGCTAATCATAGTATTTACTTTAAAGGATTGGTATGAAGACTTAGCTGGATAATATACGGAAAGTCTGGCATACGGTTATTGTTGCTTAGTTGCACAGTCATGTCCGATTGCTTGCCATTCCATGTACTGTATCCTGCCAGGCTCCTCTGTCCATTGGATTTCCCAAGCAAGAATACTGCAGTGGGTCTGGCATACAGTTACTGCTTTTCAAGTGTTTTTTTATTGAAAACTAAAATTAAAAGGGATAAAAATATAAGGTAAATGAATTTTAAAATAGTTTTACTTTTGAAGCCTTTAAAATTATGTACTGAGAGCATATTCTCAAAATATTTTTAACACTTCCTTTAAGAAAAGCACTATACATACTTTTTTGAAACAAGATTAGGAATGATATAGATTGGTCCGATATGGCTTGTAAAGTAAGCATAATGTAATATGATTCATTATAATCCTCATAATAATTGTGCCAATGTTATGGCTGTAAGAAATATATTTATTTTCAATTTCACTTTCAAATACAATAAGATGGTGTGGTGGTGGTTTAGTTGCTAAGTTGTGTCTGACTCTTGTGACCCCATGGACTGTAACTTGCCAGGCTCCTCTGTTCATGGGATTCTCTAGGCAAGAATACTGGAGTGGGTTGCCATTTCCTTCTCCAGGGGATGTTCCTGACCCAGGAATCAAACCCAGATCTCCTGCATTGCAGGCAGATTCTTTACTGACTGAGCTATGAGGGAAGCCTGCAATAAGATGATGACTTAACCATAACTTTTTGAAATTGGACTTTATTTTAAATTTTGTTGCTAATTCATGTCTAACTCTTTACAACCCCATGGACTGCAGCACACCAGGCTCCCCTGTCTTTCACTGTCTCCCAGAGTTTCCTCAGATTCATGTCCACTGAGTCTGTGATGCTATCTAACCATCTTATTCTCTGCCACTTCCTTCCCCTTTTGCTCTCTATCTTTCCCAGCATCAGGGTCCTTCCAATGAGTCAGCTCTTCGAATCAGGTGGCAAAAGTATTGGAGATTCAGCATCAGCATCAGTCCTTCCAATGAATATTCAAGGTTGAGTTCTTTTAGAATTCCTAAAGGAATATGTGTATATATATATATAATATTTATAAATATATATTCCTTTTTGGACTATAGATTCATTAATCCAATCAGAATTACAATTCACTATTTGTTAGAAATCTTTGCATAAACACTTTTCCCAGCCCACACTGTTTTCCTTTTAATATCCAATTACCTAAAATTTAAGAAGAATAAGCACCACCCCATGGGAGTGTGTGTGCTGCTCTCTGATCCTATAGTTAAAATTCAGAGTTGGGAGTGACGTCATCTGTAACAATAAAAAAGCTTCACAGTGTGTGGAAGACTTATATATATAAAAGTCACATTGAAGGGTCTACATACAACTCAATTCATCAGCTGTCTCAGGTTTACTCAACTTGGAAAAAGCATCAGCTGCTAATACGTCTGAAAGAAGATCGTGTCCTAAGACGTGTGGTGAGTAAACTTTGTTTTCTCTTTTAAGTTTCCATGAGTTCTTTTCTTACAATCAAGTAGTCATTTAATGTGTACCATATTTCCTACTAATGTCATGCTGTTTGTTCAAGGTAAAATGTTAAGGGAGGGTTTGAATTATATTTAATATTAAAATGCCACGATAAAAAATAAATTTATGCTACTAAAATATTGTTGGAACACTTATTTTTGTGATTAAAGTATTTTGAGAGGCCTTGCTTTTTTTAAACTCATCTGCAATTACATGGAAATAATTAAAATTTGGCATGATGTGCTTTAATGATATCTTGTTAAAATTTTGAAATAAAGCAGCCTAGTGAGAAATAAATAATTCTGATTTAAATAATCAATGTAAATTTATGTCTCTGAGTTAAAATTTCATTTTTTTTCACACATAATATCCTCACAGAGAGCTCAATCTGTGTACTATAGCTGGAGAAACTGTTTTACTGCTGAATATTTGGTCCCTTTACAGAAAACATTTTCTAGTTTTCTATGTGAAAACTGTACATGAATTTTAAGGATGTTTTACACCTTTCTAATGACCTTCTTGTAAAGAATCTCACCTCTCTAGTAAGAACAGGGAAGAAAGGCAGAGGTTCTCACTAGGTGTATGTGACTGAGCTGGGACAAACTCCTGTCCTCTGGCTACAGTGATTGTTCCTCACATAAACCAAAAATGAAGAATATCCATTTGGTGCTCCTTCAATAGCTTATATTGCACAGTGAAAACAAATATAGTATGTTATAATGTCCCTTATGCTACTTCTAAATGATGCAGTTTCCCACAGCCACCCTATGTGTATGTTAAAATGGAGAAAATTAAATATTAAGAAAAGGCACTTCTATCATGAAGGCTTTTGCAATTGTTGAAATGCAGACTAAGGTAAGACTTTTCTATTTTGAGATAAAAAGCTTAAACGCAAAAGAGCAAAATTCTAAACATTATACTCAAACAAAATTGTTAATAAAATGATCTGAAAAGATAAGATACAGACAAGCATTTTACATGGAATCAAAGCTCTAAATTTGTATAACAAGTAATTAATTAGATGATGCTTAAATGCTTTGACACATTCTTTTTAATGCTAGAACTCAGTGTTAAGTTAGTAAAAATCTCTAAATCAGAACCTATTAATTTGGCTTTTGTAGTTATCATGACATTGAAAGGAAGTTTACTTATGAAAAAGAAATTTGCTAAGTAAACAGACACTGTTGACAATTTACCTAATTAAGAGAAGTAGCCCTTTTCAAGCAAACTAGAAGCACTTAGTCATAATTAACACGAAATGTGGGAGGAAATTCTAAACAGTGAATTTTCTGATTCTTCACATAGCTTAAAATTCATATAACTTGCACAAGAACTCTCAAAAAGATAAGACAGTAAAACTAATCTGTCTCATTTCTAAGCCAGTTGGGTTATACTTACTATATACTAATTATTGTATATATACAATATATACTAATTATGTGTATATGTAATATATATAAACTGTAAAATAAAGAGACTGATTCCAAAAGTCTCTCACAAAGAAAAATCCAATTAGTCACTGTCACACTCTGTGCAAACTTGTATGGTTATAAATATAAACTACTATAAATTTAATTGTACAGTTTGGAATGTAAAAAGTATTTTTAAATACCTCCATTTTGCTTTTTCTTTTTTAGTTAATATGATGTCTGCAAAAGACATGGTTAAGGTAATGATTGTCATGTTTGCCATCTGTTTTCTTGCAAGATCAGATGGGAAGTCTGTTAAGTAAGTACTATAGCCTATTCTGCATGGTGAGGCCAGGGGAATTAGATTTTTAAGGTTGGCTTTATGATTTGGAAGAGGGGAATTAATGGAGTGATCCTCTATGATTCTGTTCCCTCCAGGAAGAGAGCTGTGAGTGAAATACAGTTTATGCATAACCTGGGCAAACATCTGAGCTCCATGGAAAGAGTGGAATGGCTACGGAAAAAGCTACAGGAGGTGCACAACTTTGTTGCCCTTGGAGCTTCTATAGCTTACAGAGATGGTAGTTCCCAGAGACCTCGAAAAAAGGAAGACAATGTCCTGGTTGAGAGCCACCAAAAAAGTCTTGGAGAAGCAGACAAAGCTGATGTGGATGTATTAATTAAAGCTAAATCCCAGTGAAAAAAGATCAGATATGATCAGAGCACTGTTATAGACAGCATAGGGCAACAATATTACATGCTGCTAATGTGTTCACGTTCTATTAAGTGCCAATATTTCTATGACCAACATTTATGTGTAATCTATTGCTAGCTGTGATACCTACAATTTTAATTGATTATTTTGATTCTACTTTATTAATCTAAGAGCTCTTTTAATAATTCTATTTCTGCTGATTCCAAATAAACGAAGTTAAGTATTTCTCACTTGTAAAAATATCTTTTGGTTATGAGTAACACCAATATGTTAAAATTGATCATGACTAAGAAGAACAACACAAAATGTTTTTTAACCATATGTTTCATGTTATGATATTTTGAAATTATCCTTTTAATATTATCAAAGTACCAGATCCCTGAATCATTACTAGCTTGATACTACTGTCCTCTTCACTTCAGGAAAGGAATTGAAATGCTCAGCAAGCAGAGGCAGAAAGTGGTCAGAAACATGGCAAAAGCATTTGCCTATACCCAAAGCCCTATACCCAAAACTAGGGATACTGATCATATCCCTAGTCTGGAGGTCAAGTTGCAATAGAATAGAATTTTTGTATTTAAAAGAATATAACTGTTCATTTGTCCTTCCTCACATGCATTTTTAATAAAGTGAACTGACTTAACCAAAGACAATTTAGAATATCAATGGTCATTATGGGGAACTTTTGAAATCTCCAAACTCAATCTTCTTAAAATCAATTTGGATTACCATAGCTCTAAGATTTCCAAAATTGAATGAATTGCCTATTTTGATTGGTATTTTGAGGCCTCCAAATATCACCAGCACCCTAAAATTGCCTCTTTACAAAGTAGGATTTTAAGATAAACTAAGCAAACAAGCAACTAAGGAAAGATAAGGGGACTTCAGAAACCTCATGCTCCTCTCCCTTGGCTCCTTATGATCAGGCTACATCTTCCCTTCTGTACTACCCACACCTTCTCTACACCCTTAGCTCCCCTGTATTAATTCTCTCACTGAACTGTCCTATTTCTTTAAAACACTCCCCATTTCCTTTTCCTCTGAACTTACCAGAACCTGTTCCCTTAAAATTAAGCCTTCTGAGGACCCGAAGGCTAAACCCTGAATGTCTTATATTCCCTGGACTAAAGATGAATTGCAAGCCATAGTCAAAGATTTTCCCAAAGTAACTGAAGATCTTCACAGATTTGCTGAGGAATTTAATATAGTTTTTTAAACTTGTCAGTCTTGTTTCTCTGACATAGTTCATATGCTTGCTGGTAAAGGCCAGGCCCACTCAGCAAGGCATGAAAATTGCTAATTGGAAAAGGAGAAGGAAGAGGAGGAGGAGCAGCTGAGAAAGAGGAATGAGAATCCAGATTAGCAACCTTAGGAAGTCAAGGCTGTGGTGGGTAGGAGAGTGCATCTAAGGCTATTTGGGCTATCTGCCCTTGGAACTGAGCCCCAAGAAACAAGGCATGTAAAGCAGACGACTACTCAGACTCCTGAAAAATAAAGGTATTTGTTTAAAAAAAGAAAGAAAGAAAGAAAGAAAATTCCTAATTGGAAATATCCTGAAAGGTCTCTAGAATTGCAACTGGAAGACCAGCTGCTAATTTATCATAAGATCAGGCTTGGACAGTTGTTGAGTAACTTCATGGAGCAATTCCTAGGGCTTTTCCAAAGCCTGTTGATAGCAGCAAAGTTTAAGTTTGCACAAAATATCTGATGAATCTGTTCATGACTATTACAATTGACTTCAAATTACTTTAAAGGAAATTCTGGTCTTCCTTCAGATGTTTATTCCATACTCCACTTGGGTAGCTTTAACTCCATGTTTATACAGGAGTTGAACTAGAATCTTTCCCATCTAGTAAAAAGGATCAGGATGGAATGGGAAGCTATGTCCACTCCAGACTTAATCTGATAAGCTTGCTCTCTGGTACTGTAGATGATTCACCTAAAAGAAATACCACTAGGGAATTCCCTGGTAGTCCAGTGTTTAAGACTCAGTGCTTTCACTGCTATGGCCTGGGTTAAATCCCTAGCAAGGGAACTAAAATACTACAAGCCATGTGGAATGACCAAAAAAGCTTAAAACAAAGCAAAATTAAGATTAATTATTAATCTTCAAATCCAGCAAACAAAGACCCCGTAAACAAAACCCTTCTAGTTTCCATTATTGCAAAGAACTAGGACACTGGGAAAGAGATTGTTATGCCTTCAGGTAGGCTTTCCAGGTGGCTCAGTGGTAAAGAATCCACCTGCAATGCAGAGAGATGCAGGAGATGTGGTTTTGATCCCTGAATCGGGAAGATTCCCTGGAGAAGGAAATGGTCGCCCGCTGCAGTATTCTTGCCTGGAAAATCCCACTGACAGAGGAACCTGATGGGCTAAGTCCATGGGGTCACTAAAGAGTCAGACATAACAGCAACTGAACGACAGCACCGTACATTCAAGTGCTTCAGGCATCTCTGGCCTTCTAACACGCCTTTCCAGCATCCCCCTAGTCCCTGATGGTGGCGCTCTGAGAAACTACAGGAGCTTTCCCCAAATCTCCGTCTTAATCTGCTTGGAGAAATGTTTCTCTGGACTGGGTATTAATTTCTTCCAGTCCTAACTGACACCAGAACCACCACACTCTCTGCTGCTCAACTTCACTAGTATAAAACAGCACCTGCCTCAAAGTACTAAATCAGTTCAGATAGGGGGATCACTATTCAGCCTCAAGAGATGTCTGTCTCCGAACCTGTTTCCTTTTGCTTGGCCCTTTGACAGGTATGCTCCCTTTTCTTCTTATTGCCTCAACCCCAGTCACATATCAGGCTTAGATTTCCTAGAGAAGTATCATGCTGGAATTTCTTTCTTCCAGAAGGATAAAGGATAAACAGTTCTAGAACTTGACAGTTGTCATTAAAGTAACTAACCAGGTGAATTAAATAACCCCTTGATAGCTCAGTTGGTAAAGAATCGCCTTCAATGCAGGAGACCCCGGTTCAATTCCTGGGCTGGGAAGACCCACTGGAGAAGAGATAGGCTACCCACTCCCATTTTCTTGGACTTTCCTTGTGGCTCAGCTGGTAAAGAATCCACCTGCAAAGCAGGGTAAGAGAAAGGCTACCCACTCCAAGTATTCTGGCCTGGAGAATTCCATGGACTGTAGAGTCCATGGGGTGACAAAGAGTTGGACACGATTGAGGGACTTTCACTTCACTTTGATATCTTTTACAGGGTGGGTGCTTATCCAGGACCTTTGACTAATAAACAACTTTGTTATCCCAACACCCTTCTGTTCCTAAACCTCATACACTACTAATATCCATTCCTAATGGAAGTGGTTTCTTTACTGTAATTGATTTATTCACTGCATTCTTTAGTAGTTCAGCTGATAAAACTAGTCAATACCTTCTTTACTTCACTTGAAAAGAAAAACAATTCACATGGACAATAATGTCTTAGGACTTACTTATTTCTCACAAATCTTGAAGACTTATCCAGGTGATAAAAATTTCCCTAGAAGTTCTATTTTGTTGTAACATGTGAATGAAATCTCTTTGCTCTTCTTCTCAAGCCTCTTCACAGAAAGAAGCTAAAGCTTTTACCTTTAAAGGGACATACAGTTGTCAAGGAAAGAATGCAGTTTGCCCAAACCCAGGTTTGCTATTTAGTTGGGCTTCCCAGGTGGTGTAATGGTAAAGAATTCACCTGCAAGAAGACCTAAACAGACATTTCTCCAAAGAAGACATACAGATGGTAATAAACACATGAAAAGATGCTCAACATCGCTCATTATTAGAGAAATGCAAATCAAAACTACAATGAGACATCACCTCACACTGGTCAGAATGGTCATCATCAAAAAAATCTCTCCATTCATCCCACCCTCTCCTTCCCCTTTGTGTCCACAAGTCTGTTCTCTATGTCTGCATCTCCATTGTTGCCCTGAAAATAGGTTCATCAGTACCATCTTTCTAGATTCCACATATATGCATTAATATACAATATTTGTCTTTCTGTTTCTGACTTGCTTTACTCTGTATAATGGGCTCTAGTTTCATCTACCTCATCAGAATGGACTCAAATGTGTTCCTTTTTATGGTTGAGTAATATTCCATTATAGATGGAATATATATATCTTTATCTACAACTTCTTTATCCATTCATCTGTTGATGGACATCTAGGATGCTTTCATGTCCTAGTTTCCTTTTCTCCACACTCTCTCCAGCATTTATTGTTTATAGAATCTGCCTGCCAATGCAGGAGACACAAGAGATGCAAGTTTGATTCCTGGGTCAGGAAGATTCCCTGGAGCAGGAAATGGTAACCCACTCCAGTATTCTTGCCTGGAAAATTCCATGGATAGAGGAGTCTGGTGGGCTACAATCAATGGGGTCACAAAGAGTGGAACATGGCTTAGCTACTGAACAACAACAACCTTTAATCCTGGTACTCTTCTCTCCATCACCAATGACATCCCTCATGATGCTTAACACTGATGGGTCACCTCCTGACTCCTGGTGACAATCTATAGGCAATTCTTCTGTGTGACACTGGTTTCCCATGGTTCACTGATGGTTCTTATTCAAAAGATGACAGTGGCAAATATTGTGCTGCATAGTCTATTGCAAATCCATTTGATACTGATGAGGCAATATCTAGACCTACGACTACTTTGGCCCAACAGCATGAATTATACACTGTTACACAGGCTTGTGCTTTAATCAAGGGCAAAACTTCTAATATTTATACTGATAACAGATATGCTCTCAGAATAGCTCACATCTTTGGAATGTTTTGGAAGCGACATGGCTTCCATACTTCCAGTAGATATGAAATGTTAAATGGTCCCTTTGTTCAGGAATTGTTGGATGTAATACTTTTACCTGCCACTTTAGCTACTATTAAGATTCCAGGGCATTCTAAACTTGACTCTCTGGAAGCTAAGGAAAATCACTTTGCTGACATTTCCATAAGAAATGATGCTCTTAAAGGAACCAAGAGCAAT